GGGGGGTTTCATGACCCTTTAAAATGCCTTACATTTTAATGAAAGTGAGAAGCATTAAGTAATATAAAGGTAGTATAAAGGTAGCCCTTTACAAATAAAGGTTACTAAATTTGACATTCTGCAGATTAGGGATGGATCATGATGGTTATAGGCATCTAACAACTACCTACTGAATTTGTTAAAGTGAATGGATCTAATTTTTGGGTTTAATTGTTCTTTTTTTTCCTTTTAGTTTTTTTAACCTGTGGTTATTTAACATGCCATGTTTTATAGAATAAATTATTACTGAATGAAAAACAGCCAACAGGGTTCCCACGGTTCTGTAAAACCTGAAAATATCAGGAAATTGTGATTTTTATGTCTGAAAAGTCATGAAAAATAGTAATATTTTAATTAATATTATCAATTGTGAAAGTTCATGAATATTTCCATAGTAGATAATATATAATTGTAATATACTCTAAAAAATTATATTCTCTCCATCTCACCAAGGCTGCATTTATTTAATCAAGATTACAATATAAATATAGTAAAGTGAAAATACAGTAATATTGTCGTCTTCTCCTCCTCTTCTCCTTTTCCTTTTCCTCCTCCTTATTCTTCTCCTTTATTATCGTTCAGAAATTATTCTAATATGCTGATTGTGTTAATATTTGTTGGCTCTGAAACACCTCTGATTGGCCATTGCATTTAAGAAATCAACAGGTATGTCTGCGATTGGCTACAATGTTCAACGCTACAAAAACACATTAATAGAAACCTTTGTTGCTCAGAGCGCAAACACAGAGAAAGGATACGCATTGGAGTCTACGGTGAGGCGGCTGCCACTTACTTTCATTTGTTTTTTTTATGTTTATTTTGTTATTAAAGTTACATTTGCCGTTTCCCGCTTCCTCCTTTCCTGAGTCTTGAACTTTGTTAAATGCATATATACATTTTCCTTAAATGTTTCCTTTCCTTCATCCTGGCGACCCATTTTTTAAGTCTCGAGGGTCGCGACCCAGGGTTTGAAAACCACTGATCTAATGCATCATTATTCTGAGTAAAAGTATTAATTTATTGAAAATATATTTAAAATTCACTTCAAAATATTTCAATGCAGACAATGTTTTATAACTGTCACAGCTAAACAGGAACTTTTATAGGCCGATGTTCTCCAAATGGCAAAATATTGGACTTTTAAATGCCAGCTCACTGTACTTATGGGGATACACAGCTTCTTCATCGGTGTATAAAAGAGTACAATGAGGCCCAGCTCCATCAACTGGAAAGTTCAAAGCCACGTTCAGCTAGGGCTGGACGATATGGCCAAAATTGATATCACGATATATTTCTTAATTTCGGTCGATACGATATAATTCCGATATCGATATGAACACTATTTATCTGAATTCGAAATCTTTTGTAACATTATAAATGCCTTTATCATCACTTTTGATCAATTTTAAGCATCCTTGCTAAATAAAAGTATTCATTTTTATAATTTCTTTCCCAAAAAAATTAATAAAAATGATACTGAATGGAATAGTGTATAATGTTACAAAAGTTTATTATTTCAGATAAATGCTGATCTTTGGATCTTTCTATTCATCAAAGAATCCTGAAAAAAAAAATTACTCAACGGTTTTAAATATTGATAATCAGCAAATCAGCATATTAAAATGATTTCTGAAGGATCATGTGACACTGAAGACTGGAGTAATGCTGAAAATGTAGCTATGTATGATCACAGGAATAAATTACATTTTAAAATCTATTAAAATATAAAGCAATTTTAAATAGTAAAAATATTTAAACATTTTACTGTTTTTGCTCAGCACCCATTTGAATGGGCCAAAGATGTGAGATTGTGAGTCTCTTAGCAGTGCTGGACCTGATAGGAATGTGAGTGTGTATGTGTGGGGAAGCAGTGGCCTCTGGGCAGCTCACCATGCTGAGATGTGATTGAGGTCCGCAATGGGGATCCGCTCGTCTTCTCACGAGAGCCGCCAGAAAACACTCTGCATTGGGGTCTAAATCAATAGTGCCTGTAAGGAGGCTCCGCAGTTTAGTATGTTTTGATATTGAGGTTGGAGAAGGGTTGTGGTATCAAGTATTTTGTGCATGAGGGCGTGTTTGGATCCAAGCCAGTGCACAGGACACAGTTGCATATAAGGGGGACAGCGTGCCCAAAGCGTGAAACAAATAACGCGTTATACGGAGCCACTAAAAGGTTAGCCGCTTGCTAGTGGTAGCCTGTTGCATTACAGTACATGACGGTTCACTTACCACATGCACAGAGTAAGGAGAAATGTCTGATAGGAAGATGGTGAATGATTTGCAGATCCTGAGCACCAATGACAAACATCTAATCTTGTCAAATGTGTGGTAAGTACTACCGCTCCATAGTATAGAGTCCTTGTGATTGCGAATCTCAAAAGTGAAAGTAAAATGAGAGCGCGCAATCAAAAGCGGTTTCAATAGCGGCTCCCTGATGCCCGCAATTTATATACAGTCACCTATACTTACCCAATGATATAATTGCGAGAAAAAGTATTGACATTTTTTTTATCCTCCCCATCTCGTAGGCTATTTATTCCCTTTAGGGTTTCCGTAGTACACTTCATTTTCTTTCCGAACACGGAACTGGGATGCGGTGGATTGCGGGAGAGGGTGTGGGTGTGGGTAATCACGATGTCAGCTTAACATCGTGATGTCTGTCAGCCTGTCGGCCCAACCCTATTAACCATATTACCCAAGGCCTAATTTTCGGTCTCTTCACCAGATGATGAAGGTGACCTCCAGCACAGCAGCACAGGGAGCGAAGCGGGCACGGCAGGGGACGGCACCCCTCCTCCCAAGCGCAAGGGCAAGTTCTCTACCCTGGGTAAAATCTTCAGACCCTGGAAGTGGAGGAAGAAGAAAAGCAGCGAGAAGTTTAAGGAAACTTCAGAAGGTCCTTTGTTCTTTTATTTTCATGTTTGTGTTGGAAAATAGCTTTCCATTCCTTGACATTTTTCCTTAAATCACACCCTAATGTTTGTTAAAGTTTTCTTTCCTTTGCTGATATGAATGTTTTTTCAGATGTTTTAAAGAGCAGGTCCTATGGTATTTTAAAGTGTCCTAATGTTGTGTTGGAGTCCCCTACAACAGGTTTAAATGCATCTAAGGTCAGAAAACATTGTAATTTTCTCAAAATTTAATATTAAAGTCATTTGCCAGTGATTTCGAAATGATTCGTTCCAAGCACGTTCGGAACAAACCCCTCCCTTCCATAAGCCTACTCTGCTCTGATTGGTCAGCTGGCCAAGCCTGCTGTGATTGGCACAGAGAGGAGTCCTTGAGCAAGTTAGCGAGCAAGTTACATAAAACAATAATACAGTGCTCCAATCCGTTTTTATAATAATGACATAAAATACAAAAACACTTATGCAAGCGAATTGTGCCCACAGCTAAAGTTTAGCTGCTAAACTGTTAACACGTAAAACAATAATGGTGGATACGTTAGCCAAGTGCTAATGTGACTAATTGATGAAACAATACAGTTTGTAAATCAAAGTCTACTGTAATGTTTGAATAACACCAGACAAAAGACGCTCTGTCTTAACTTTTAATCAGAACGCAGAACAGCTGTATCACGGGCACACCAGCCTAACTAACTCGCTCGTCTCTCCCGCATTACCCTATAACTGCCGTCCGTGCAGCAAAATAAACAGCAATTTCACAATGATTATAAAGTCTGTGCGCTACACTACATTATTATTAAACGAAGTAATTAGAACAACGTCAGTATACATTAATCGACACATTATTAGGAAATAGTGGGTTCACAGCGAATTATCAAACTACTTGAGTAAGACAGTAATATTGTGCTTTACCTGGAAACCTAAAGCTGCACTAGGTGTACATCACGTATTAGCACAAAAACATGATATTTTGAGCACTCAATTGAAAATGTACACATAA